GATGTGACACATGAAATGAATCAGCGTCTTGCAAGATTAATGATTCCGCTTCTTTAAAGGGGTTAGCAAATGGCACATTTATTTATTTATTTACGACATTTATATGCTGCCCTTCTCACCCCAAAGGGGACACAGAGCGGCTTACAAGATATATATATGTATGTATGTATGTATGTATGTATGTATATATACACACACACATACAAACTATATAAATAAAAATGTAATGTTCGTTTGTGGGAGTAACATAACTCAAAAACCACTTGATGAATTGACACCAAATTTGGACACAAAACACGTATCAGGCGAATGAGTGTCTATCACCCCTAAAAACACACAAAAAACCCAATAGAACGGACTTAAACCCCCCCTCCCAATAAACTATATCTATATAAATAAAAATGTAATGTTCGTTTTTTGGGAGTAACATAACTCAAAAACCACTGGATGAATTGACACCAAATTTGGACACAAAACACCTATCAGGCCAATAAATGTCTATCACCCCTAAAACACACACAAAACCCCCAGCAGAACGGACTTAAACATCCCCCCCCCAATAAACTATATCTATATAAATAAAAATGTAGTGTTCGTTTGTGGGAGTAACAGAACTCAAAAACCACTGGACAAATTGACACCAAATTTGGACACAAGACACCTAACAACCCAATGTATGTCCTTCACTCAAAAAAATTGATTTTGTTATTTGGCAGTTGTAGTTGCTGGGATTTGTATTTCACCTATTATATTAAATTCCACAGCTTTTCTGCTGCCCTCATTGGTAAGAGTAGATTTGCACATCATTTATGGAAAACACAATGTATGTATGTATGTATGTATGTATGTATGTATGTATGTGTGTGAGAGTGTATTTGCATGATGTTTTACCCATGCATCTTGAAACACATCTGCAAGGGTGAATTTGAACTCTGGTCTCCTGGAGTCTTAGCGACAACCCATGAACCATGCCACTCCCTGGCTGTTGACCATCAGTTAGCTTTCAGGTCACCAGCGGTGGCTATACATCTGCAAATAACAAAAGCTGTTCTGCAAAATGTATGTGTTTTAGTATCTTACTCAGGAAGGACTGATTACCAGGCACACCCACATTGTATGCCACCAGAACACTGTGTTATTTCGCTAATGTTTAGTTGAAGTAGATAATTTCCCCTCCAAAAGATATATTCTGCTCTGATATCAATATTTACTGATCTAAGCATCATTTAAATATAAAGAGATTTTAAACTTTGAGGCAGGAACAATTTTTATTGATTGATTTATGCAGGACAATCAAATCTCTTTATTCCACTCAATTCTAACATAACCAAAGGAGGAGAAATAAAAATAGTCCAGCGTATGGTTGAATCTGTTATGAAACAACCAGTTCCCCAAAGCCTATCAGAATAAAAACCATTACTCCCCAAGACATTTCTGTAGGGCAGTGGTCCTCAACCTTCCTAACGCTGCGACCCCTTAATACAGTTCCTCATGTTGTGGTGACCCCCAACCATAAAATTATGATCATTGCTACTTCATAACTGTTGTTTTGCTACTGTTATGAATCATAATGTAAATATCTGATACAAAGGATGTATTTTTATTCACTGGACCAACTTTGGCACAAATACCCAATACACCCAAATTTGAATACTGGTGGGGTTGGGGCGAGGATTGATTTTTGTCATTTGGGAGTTGTAGTTGCTGGGATTTATAGTTAACCCACAGTCAGAGCATTCTGAACTCCACCAGTGATGGAATTGAACCAAGCTTAGCACACAGAATTCCCATGACCAACAGAAAATACTGAGTTTGATGGGCATTGACCTTGAGTTTTGGAGTTGTAGTTCACCTACATCCACAGAGCACTGTGGACTCAAATATTGATGGTTCCGGACCAAACTTGGCACGAATACTCAATATGCTCAAATGTGAATATTGGTGGAGTTTGAGGAAAATAGACTTGACATTTGGGAATTGTAGGTGCTGTGTTGCAGCATATAGGAGAGATAATATCAAGAGAGATCCTCTCTGGAGAAAGAAAAGTACGGCTTTTTCCAGCTGGGACCCTGGAGTGGAGCTGTGTCCAAAAGCAATCATAAAGGTGTTGACTGCCTTTTATACACTTCAGATGCAGGCAAACAAAGAAACATGCTTCTACATACATTGACATCATTCACTGTGTCACTTTAGCATTATAGGAATATCAAATTCTATCTTCCAACATACAAAAGGCATGTCTCTGTATTTCTTTCTAAAGAGCAGCATACAGCTTACAGCTTACATTCATCAATCAAGGGGCCTACTTTGTCCTGTCAGGAGGGAAGGGGGATAAGCTCCTTACTTAGCTATAGCTTGGGCTATGTTGTACCAGTCTCTCTCTCTCTGGAATGTATAGATAACATGCCCCCCTCATCCTCCCTTCCAACATCCCTTCTCTGTCTTGCTGGCTTTCTTACACAGAGATAACCTGATTTTTCTATACATTTCAATGCTTGTAAAGTATTTATTTATTTATTCTCACCCCTCTTGAGGGACTCAGACCGGTTTCCAACCATAATATCACATACAATCAATAAAACATCATAATACATATTACAGTAAAACATTAAAACAGCAATTACAATCAATAACTATAATGGTCAGTCGTCACACTAAAATCGTTGCTCATCATCCTCCATCCATATCTCAGGGTGTTGGCTCACTCGTCGAATGCCTGTCTCCATAACCAAGTCTTCACCTGTTTCCTAAATGTCAGGATAGACGGGGCGGTTCTGATCTCCAGTGGGAGAGAGTTCCAGAGTCGAGGGGCCACCACCGAGAAGGCCCTGTCCCTCGTCCCCACCAGATGTGCTTGCGAGGCCGGTGGGACCGAGAGCAGGGCCTCTCCAGACGATCTTAATAATCTTGATGGTTCATAGGGGAGAATACGTTCGGAGAGGTAAACAGGGCCGGAGTCGTTTAGGGCTTTATAGGTTAACACCAGCACTTTGAATTGTGCTCGGAAGTTAATTGGCAGCCAGTGGAGCTGGTGTAACAGCTGAGTGGTGTGCTCCCTGTACCCAGCAACCGTTAGTATTCTGGCTGCCGAGCGTTGGACTAGCTGCAGCTTCCGGGCAGTCTTCAAAGGCAACCCCACGTAGAGAGCGTTGCAGTAGTCTAAACGGGATGTATCCAAAGCGTGGACCACCGTGGCCAAGTCAGACTTCCCAAGGTACGGGCACAGCTGGCGCACAAGTTTTAATTGTGCAAAAGCTCCTCTGACCACCGCCGAAACCTGGGGCTCCAGGCTCAGCAATGAATCTAGGAGAACTCCCAAACTGCGAACCTGCGCCTTCAGGGGGAGTTTAACCCCGTCCAGCACAGGCTGTAACCCTATGCCCTGTTCAGACTTTCGACTGACTAGGAGTACCTCTGTCTTGTCTGGATTTAGTTTCAATCTGTTATCCCTCATCCAGTCCGTCACAGCGGCCAAGCACCAGTTCAGGACCTGAACAGCCTCCTTAGTAGCAGGTGGAAAGGAGTGACAGAGTTGGACATCATCTGCGTACAGATGACACCGTACCCCGAAACTCCGGATGATCTCTCCCAACAGCTAATCTCTCCCAAGTACATACAATATATGCATAAATAAATATCTATTTTCCCAATATCTCCCCATCAGCTGGGATGTATAGTTCACCTAAAAAAAAAAGAGCATTCTGAACCCCACCAATGATGGATTGGGCCAAACTTCCCACACAGAGAAACCCCCATGACCAACAGAAATTACTGTGTTTCCTGATGGTCTTTGGCAACCCCTCTGACATCCACTTGCGACCCTCCCAGGGGTCCCGACCCCCAGGTTGAGAACCACTTCTGAAGGGGGTTAGAAAGCCTGATTGAGAATTTGCATGCCTCTCAAGAGAAATTTGGGGATTTTTTTTATTACCACTTGGAAAAAGCATTGTCAGCATTGGGGAAATCAACAAGATGATGCAGAATCAATAGTATCATGCTGGTTTGCAAAGCTAATGATGTTGCTTATCTTCCAGTGCCACCTGTTTCTACCAAGCCCTTCCAGTATTTTCTGTTGGTCATAGGATGCTCCATGTTTTTGCCTCTAGATCTTGGGAACTGTGTTTTTGCATTTAACCTTTGTCTTTGGAACTTTGCATTGCTTACTCTATGTTTTGACTTTGTTCTTCCTTAATAAGCTACAAAATCTACAGTTCTTGTGTGGTTGTGTTTGGGAGCAAGGTGAAGCCTACTCTGAGTTGCAACAAAAGCAACAGGTCCCCTGGCAGCCAGAAAAGTTAATTAGTCTCTGACTGTCTGTCTATATCTGTTGTGTGTCTTTGGCATTGAATGTTTGCATATATGTGTACATTGTAATCCACCCTGAGTGCCCTGTGGGGTGAGAAGGGCAGAATATAAATACTGTAAATAAATAAATAATAAATAACATCTGTTTTCAAACTGCTTAGGTGGGCAGTAAGCTGGGCTGAAGGTCGGGTGCTCACCCAGACCCGGGCTTCGAACTGCCAACCTTTCAATTGGTAAGATGTATTGCTGCTGGTGATTAACCAGCTGTGCTAAAGCCCGGCCCTGAAGACTTCATATTTTTAGGAAACTATATTTAGCTTCGGATTTTGTAATCTGTTCCTGTCAAATTACCATTTTTATTGGTGGGGGCCAATGAGGACATAATTCCGTTGGCTAGAAGTACAGTCAAAATGCCCACTTCTTAGTGCACATGGGGAGAACAAATTGTTTATTGATGCTTGGAGCAATGTTTTTGAATTTCAACATTTGATGACTATCACAAGACAGTGAGGTTTTGCCATTCTGTCAAGAGTCATAGAAAGAAAACACTCTGGCCCTTTGTGCTGGCCAAGAAGCCGACTGCAAGTTTGTGAACAGCCCTGACAATGAAGGAATTCAGCGATCGGCCATGGCTGTCACACGTTAGCCTTTCCAGAGCCTGTAGGGCTTGTTCACATGTAGCTTTAAAAGTCGGGAATATCGGTTTCCGTGCAGACGAGGGAAACGATTCTTGCCAGCATCACCCCAAACTGTCTGCGGGACAGATTGTGTTTTGAGACATGGAGGACATTTTGCCTAGCGAAGAGGAAATGGCCTTTCCTCGGATTACCAAGACCTTGGGCCAGGAAAACTACTGGGAAACAACAGAAAAATTGGACTATATGTATGTTAAAGTAAGTTACAGCTCTCCTCCCCAGTTGTGGATTCGGTTAATTTTTCATTTTTGCATGTTGTCTGCTTTGGTCACCTTATTGCATTGTATTTCACAGGACACTTGCATTGACTTGAGATCTAGGGACAGTACGGAGTCCCAACGAAAGATGTTTGAACTCTTCTAGAAAATGTATTGTCGAAGGCTTTCATGGCCGGAATCACTGGGTTGTTGTAGGTTTTTCGGGCTATATGGCCATGTTCTAGAAGCATTCTCTCCTGACGTTTCGCCTGCATCTATGGCACGTATCCTCAGAGGTAGTGAGGTCTTTTGGAACTAAGAAAGTGGGTTTATATATCTGTAGAATGACCAGGGTGGGAAAAGAACTCTTGTCTGCTAGAGCTAGGTGTGAATGTTTCAACTGACCACCTTGATTAGCATTTGATGGCCTGGCAGTGACTGGGGCAATCTTTTGTTGAGAGGTGATTAGAAGAGGAAGTAGTTGTGCAATCTTGTCATTCTCTAGTTAAATGTACATATAATTGACAGATATGTACATACAGAATTAATTGCTCAAGAGTAAATTAAAAATCTACATCAGATCACAACCCCTGCCGCCCCCCCCCCCCGCCCCCCAAGCTGTATGTATTTTCTTTTCCATAGTTGCTGAAGGAGAGGCTGAGCCTACAGTCCTATCCTTGTTTGCTAGGGAGGAAGCCCTAGTGAAAACACTGTGGTACTTACTTACGATTGAGAAAGCATGGATTCCAGACTCCAATAGGCTTGTGGAATCCGAGTAAACTGCAATCCGTTTTGGTGTCCCAGATTTCGGTGATCTGTTTTGCAGGAGCCTCCTGAATTCGGGGGGATAGAAATCCATTTTTGATCCAGGAAGCCGAAAGATTTGTTTTCTATCCAGACCATTATGGAGTGGACTTCCCAGGCTCCCCATCATTTTAAGCATCATTTGTCCTATCCTTTAGTAAGACCTGGATTAAAAGCATCAGAGTTAAGATACCACTCTTTCTGCAATCCTTTGGCTTCTATCTGTAGAGGAAACCAGGGTTAATGCTTAATTAAAGCTGCTTCTACTCTAGAGGAGACAGGCGAACAGGCGTGCACGCGCTCTCTCCCTGCAGCATGCAGCTTTCCAAGGTATTTTAAGGATGTCTCCTCACTTCGCCGAGAAGGAAGAGCGACTGATCTGGAGGTACCCTACCCTGGGCTTCCTTAAAAAGGCCCTCTCTTTTCTCTTGATTTGCAGGCCCTGGAGTGGTGCCTTTTCCCTTCCCCCTCACGCTTCAGTCTCCCTTCTGCTTCGGGTTTAATGCTGCTTACGAGTAGTTACATCTGTTTCTACTCTAGAGGAGACAGGCGCTGCAGGAGTGCACGGCACTCTCTCCCTGGAGCACTCAGCTTTCTAAGGTATTTTAAAGAAGTCTCCCCACTTCCCAGGGAAGGAAGAGTGACTGACCTGGAGCTACACTACCCTGGGCTTCCTTAAAAAGGCCCTCTCTTTTCTTTTGATTTGCAGGCCCTGGAGTGGAGCCTCCCACCCCCCCAATCACGCTTCAATCTTCCTTCTGCTTAGCTTTTAATGCTGTTTACTAGTAGTTAAATCTGTTTCTACTCTAGAGGAGTCAGGTGCTGCAGACGTGTATGGCAAGTTTTCCTTGCAGCACTCAACTTTTCAAGGCATTTTAAGGAGGTTTCCCTCCTTCCCAGGGAAGGAAGAGTGATTGACCTGGATCTATCTTACCCTGGGCTTCCTTAAAAAGGCCCTCTCTTTTCTTTTGATTTGCAGGCCCTGGAGTGGTGCCTTCCCCCCCCCCCCCTTCGTGCTTTTCCTTCTAGTGGCTGCTTCCCTCTTGCACTCCCACTTGTAACCAAAGGCAGCCAATTTTCAACAGCCACTGTTCTGTTGTGGCCAAAAATAACATGGAGGCTGATCCCTTATTGAACAAGCTGAAGGGAACCCACCAATCCGATTCCATGCACAAGCCTAGACTCCAACTCTAGCTTTCAAGCAGCATAGCTTGTATAACTTCTCACACTTCCCATGTTCTCATGCTGGGTGGAGGGTCCAAAAGAGTAACTTTGCAAGTTCTACTTTTAAGACTGGTGTCCCTCAATTTTTTTCAATTTCTTTCCCCTTCGGTCTTACAATGCTTGGGGGGGGGGGGGGGGGGGGGTTGTGATCTGATGTAAGTTTTTAATTTACTCTTGAGCAATCAATTCAGTTTTGTACTGAAAACCTGGTCTTCTGGACCGATCTTCCTTGGTTAGACAAGCAGGCATCCAACTAATAGGTTTTGCTCCTCAGGGCTTTTTTCCAGGGTGTGTCTCTCTAAGAACATGGGCTGGGAAAACAAAAGTTTCAAAAATAGACATACTTGTTGCTTCTGGGTGAAGAATTCAGTTCAAAAAAGAATGGTTGTTAATTATCCTCTTTTTTGCATGGTTGTTAATTATCCTCTTTTTAAAACCAGCCAAATAATTGTTTTAAAATAAAATGCCACTCATTGTTTTGATGACTTTTTGCATGAGTTGTTGAGAACTGAGCTTTCTGAAACACGTTACCTTGGATTTATTGGTTAAGGAGTTTAACCCTGGTCTTGGATCTTCATGCCATAGTAACATAAACAATGAAATGGAATAAAAAGAGGGATAAAGCTAAGACATTTTGGGCAAAGTTTCAGACAGAGGTTGCTAAAGGCCTAGAACTGCGTTTCTCAACCTGGGGGTCAGGACTCCTGGGGGTCACAAGTGGGTTTCAGGGGGGTTGCTAAAGACCATCAGAAAAACATATATTTCTGATGGTCTTAGGAAACCTTTGGCGGAGAAGTGTGACGATCTCTCTGCCTGTCCTTCTCTTCCTTTTTGGAAACAGATGGCGAATCCGTCCACCAAAATCCCTTCTCCACTGTGATTGGCCGGTCTCTAAGCCAAGGGGAGGGCTGTTCCTGAGACTCCAAGCAGGGAGGAGAGAGCAGGTGTGCTTGGCGCATATTAGCATGGTACGCATGTGCGGGTGAGGAAGAGCGTGTGAGGCTGAAGGGAGGCTCACGCCAGCGAGTCCCTTCAAGGCATGTAGGATCTGTGTGGCAAGATAGGCCCAATTCTCTCATTGGTGGGGTTCAGAATGCTCTTTGATTGTAGGCGAACTATAAATCCCAGCAACTACAACTCTTAAATTTCAAGGTCTATTTTCCACAAACTCCACCAGGGTACACATTTGGGTATATTTAGTATTAATTCTGTTGTGACTCAGCTGGAACCTCAGACACAGACTGATAGTGTTCTGACTCAGATGGGGTCTCAGAGTGATTCTGACGAGGATTATGGGATTCAGGTTCACAATCAGGTTCAAAATGTTCCTGTTGTAGACAATGAGGAACAGGGTGTGCAAGTTCAGTTTCCCACAGCAGGGAATGATGTTTTTGATTCTCAAACTAATCAGGTGCAAATTGACTCTGAAAAGGAGGACAGTTCTCAGCCTGATAGGAAGGAAGCCAAACAGGCTGACACTAAAGAGCAGCCTGACCTTGAGGAAACCGGAATCGGGCTGACGTTTGGAATTCAGAGTTCCAAGGAATATGAGAATAGCCAACAAGAAGGAGGTCAGAGGCCAAAGAAATGATTCATGTATTGCAAAGGGTATTAAGCAGTGTGTTTGAAAACAAGCCGTGGCCAGAGCTACTTCTCACTCAACCAAGCAGCTTATGCTCGTTTTCCTGTGTCCATGGTCTTGGGATTTTGTCATGTGTTCATGGGACTTTGTTTCGTTGGTGCCATTTGGAATTCTGCTTTACAGTGCTATGTTTTATTGATCCTTGGAACATTACTTGCTTTTTAAACTTTTCACCTTTTATTTTTCAATAAACTGCAAAGACTTCAGACTGTGTGCAGTTCTGGTGATTTCAGCAAGGTGAATCTATTCTGAGGTACGACACATTCCAAGTTTGGCCCAGATCTATCATTGTTTGAGTCCACAGTGCTCTCTGGATGTAGCTGAACTACAACTCCAAAACTCAAGGTCAATGCCCACCAAACCCTTCCAGTATTTTCTGTTGGTCATGGGAGTTCTCTGTGCCACGTTTGGCCCAATTCCATCGTTGGTGGAGTTCAGAATGCTCTTTGATTCTAGGTGAACTATAAATCCCAGCAACTACAACTCAAATGACAAAATCAACACCCCCCCCCTCCCCCAACTCCACCAGTATTCAAATTTGGGCGTATAAGGTATTTGTGCCAAATTTGGCCCAGTGAATGAAAATACATCCTGCAAATCAGATATTTACATTACAATTCATAACAGTAGCAAAATGACAGCTATGATGTAGCAATGAAAACAATGTTATGGTAGGGGGTCACCACAACATGAAAACCTGTATTAAGGGGTCACGGCATTAGGAAGGTTGAGAACCATTGGCCTAGAACTTGCAACAATTGACTCAGTAGGTTATCTTAGTGCACAAAATGTTCATATGGGGAAGTTAGGCAGTCACTGTCAGTATAACTATTTTATTATAAGTACTAGCTGTCCCCTGCCACGCATTGCTGTGGCCCACTCTGGTGGTCATGGGGGTTCTGTGTGGGAGGTTTGACCCAATTCTATCGTCGGTGGGGTTCAGAGTGCTCTGAGATTGTAGATGAACTTCAAATCCTAGCAATTACAACTCTCAAATGTCAAGATTCTATTTTCCCCAAACTCCACCAGTGTTCACATTTGGGCATATTGAGTATTTGTGTAGAGTTTGGTCCAGATCCATCATTGCTTGAGTCCACAGTGATCTCTGGATGTAAGTGAACTACAACTCCAAAACCAAAGGACACTGCCCACCAAACCCTTCCAGTATTTTCTGTTGGTCATGGGAGAACTGTGTGCCAAGTTTGGTTCAGTTCCATTGTTGGTGGGGTTCAGAATGCTCTTTGATAGTAGGTGAACTATAAATCCCAGCAACTACAACTCCCAAATGACAAAATCAATTTTTTTTGAGTGAAGGACATACATTGGGTTAT